CGCTAGGGCGATCATGTTCGAAATTAAGAAGATCTGCTGCATCGGTGCTGGCTATGTCGGGGGGCCAACCTGCAGCGTGATTGCACAGATGTGTCCCAACATCAAAGTGACCGTGGTGGACGTCAACGAGGCGAGAATCAGCGCCTGGAATTCGGACACGCTTCCGATTTATGAGGTAAAGCTGTCTGCGTCTTATTTTTTGCTGTTAGCTTTTCTTCTGGCTGGTATTGCGTTTGCTTTCCTCCCGCCACGAGGAGTTTCCACATGGCCCACTTCTGACTCTTTGTAAGTATAGCACAGTGATGTCCTTAAAAAGCGTGTTCTGGAGCACTTCATCATTAATGTTCATTAAACCAGATTTTGAAATGATGTCAGATGCTAGAGGTTGTTTCAAGAACTGAATAAGAGGACTATATTATGATTAGATTATCTGCTATGTTGTAGTACAATATTAATGTTTAATACTGGATTATAAACTATATTCCAGTTTTGAATACTGCCAGAATCCCATCTGTGTTGCACGCTTTAGCCATGTAGTAAGGTGGGGACAGTCATGTTTGAATCATGTTCTGATTCACTTATACTGAAAACTTCCAAGCAGGAAGACTGGTTTAGATTTAAATGATTCTTTTTAAAGTATGCCGTCACTTTTTTGTCACATAAGCACTTTATCTGAAGGTAAGTCTGCACTTTCTATACTTCTCCTGGGGTTTTTCACCCTTCAAGAGTAGCTGCCTCTTTTTTCCTTCGTTCTTTTATGAGATAAAAGTGTCATGAAAAGATACTATACTAGGTTCAAGTTCTCTTACCTAACGGGCATGGAAGTTTGTTTTCACTTGGATCCCTCAAAACAAGGCAGGTTGCTTGATATTAACAGTTAGACTGTTGTTAGAATAAGTCTTCTGAACTCTGTGCTGTAACACCTTTATAGTTTTCTAAAGTTCCCTAAAATGCAAACCTCTAACTTGTTAGAGACAAGCAGATCTTCTTTATCCTACATTTTCAAAGGAAAAAGTTTGTAGCTTAGATTAGCAAGCGAGAAATGAATAAAGTTCATAAGAGCAAGTACTTTTTTGTATTACTGCTTATACTGTTTGAATGGGTTAAAGTAGGGCTAGACCTGACACGTTAAGAAAAACGACAAAAAAAATGTATTTCCTGGTAGTGTCCTTTGCTTACAAAGAATTCACAAAAACTGCCAAGGATGAGTTAATGCAATTGCAAATTTGAGCCATTGCATGCTGAGGGGTGATTTTTTTTTTTAATTTTGTTTGCTTATTTTTCTTTCCAGTGTCAGGAGGGACAAGGAAATTCTTTTACTTGCTTGTGAGCTGCCTTTCTATCTGCATCCCAAGAAAACCATTGCTGGCATGCTTAGTATGAGTTTGTAGCACATGTTATTCTACCTCTGTTGACCTTTATATCAAACGTCTAACTGAAATGAAAATAAAGTGAGACAGCAAAAACTTTTCACCTAGGAAAGCTTCTGCTTCTTCCTTTTCTTTCCCTCCAGTGAACCTTTGCCTTTCTGGCACTTACTCATGTATCTCGTGTCATGATAAGTGTTTTGTACTTTGGAGCTTTGATTACTAGGTGACAGTGCACAACTTCTATTTTCAAACAAAAATAAAGCTGCTTTTATCTCAGGAGGCTACATTTAAATTAAATTGTCTTTGTAAATCATGGTAATACAGAGAACTGCTCATGTTTGCATGGCCTTTTAACAATCCCCACTCACACAACAGCATGAAGAGAAGGGAGTGGGTTCTGGCACAATGTGTCTCTGAATGGTATTCTCTAAGGGTGACAGTGATTCTGCCCACACATGTTAGGTGTGGTTTCATGATATACTTACTCTGTTCCAGACATGGGTGGTTGCCAAAAGGAATACCAAAAGGAATTTTTTTTTTTCCTCTCCTGAGTCTTTGTGCTGCCTTTCTTGTATTGGATCCAAGTCAGATCAACTTGTGAACTTGGTGGGAGATTTTTTTTTTTCTGGGTTAATTTGTATTGAATCAGTTTGCTAGACATAATGTTAGGGAGATGGAAGGAAGGTATAGGGAAAGGAGCTGAGATCACCTCTTGTTGAAGCGTAGGACGTAAAAAATAAGACTTTGTTCCTAGGAATTGACTTAACATCACTCTACAGGTATTTCTTTGATTGTTGCTTGTAGTAATAGAATTTATATATATACATAAGTACGTCATTTAATGGCACCTAAAATCTGAGGTACAAAATGCAGTTCACTGGGACTGAGAAAATCTGGAGACTGCATTTTGAGTGCCTTCTGAATAAGAAAGGCTGTTATTTCCCCCCCCCCCCAAAAAAAAAAAAAAAATAGACAGAAGTTTTACTCTACATCTGAAAGGGTTAAAAATGTGCCATGCTGAGCACAAAAGTCTGTATCTGAAATGATATGCTGTTTATTTGGGTATGCCGTTTACTCTTCTTCTAACTATGTTAGCCTTAAGTACTTTTTTTTTCTTTCAGCCAGGATTAAAAGAAGTGGTGGAGTCCTGTCGAGGAAGAAATCTCTTCTTTTCTACCAGTATTGATGAAGCCATTAGAGAAGCTGACCTTGTATTTATTTCTGTAAGTTTGCGGGGAGGGGGAGAGGGTTGTTTTTTGTATGTGTGGGGGTTTTCTTTTTCCTCCCACCTCTCGAGGAGAGGGGTGGCATTATTTTTCTAACAAATGCATATGTAGATATCCTTGTATTAGGAAGAGGCCTTTGTTTTTTCATGTTCATTCATTTAGTGATGTAATGTAATTGTGTCAGATTTCCCCTTGTATACTATGGGGAAAGTATTAAGTAAGCTTTCTGTTTTATTCTAGTTCAGCAGTTATTTGTCTCTCTAAGCCAGTAGAGTACTTATTTTGACTTGGAGCCCAATAGTTTACTGACAATGTTGATGTTTAGCTAGGGGAGTGCGTATGGAGAGCAGGATATAGTGTGGTTCTATCATTGTGGTATCCTACTGAAGTTCATAGGACATGCATAGATTTATATATATTGGTGATTAGGCGATACTATTCCTAGACTGGGATGCAAAATCATGCACTATTTACTATGTTACAAAGGTGGCTTATTTTTAGAAGTTTTTAAAATCCGATGTATTAATGGAAGAGGGATGGCAGGTTCTTCCTTTGATATCTTCCTTTGATATTCAGGAGGCTTTAATGTTTTTAAGCTGTTGGCACCAGGAAGGAAGAGGGTCTAGTCAATTATGAAGAGTGTGACCTTTTGTGATAGGCTGCTCTTAATGCAGAGTCCAAAAGAACTGATTAATATTCAGCATGGTAGGTCACAGCCCAGTTATTTTTTTTCTTAAGTGGTCTTTTCTTAAGCTCCACTACTCTGTTAGAGCACCTCAGTACAGAGATCTCTGATAGTATTTTTCTCCATTTGTGAAATCTAAAATGAATGCTGGTTGGCTGGATGACTGCCACTAATGCAGCCTATACTTTGCCACCTGGATTCCTGTGTTTTGCATGTTGTTGCTATTTCTTCTTGAAGCTTGTAAAGAAGAGGGCCCTCTGTATTAATCTAAATGACGTATTTTCCCTCATGTGTTCTTCAGTACAGCAATATCCAGCAGCTCTACACCTAGCTTTCACTGCCAAGTGGGTTTAAAGCATAGTTGCCTTGCTAGTTGCAAGGTTCTTCTAAAGCAACCTTCTTACACTTCTGACATGGGAGAGGAAAAAAGCTGTCTGTGGCCAGGCAAAAATTATTGCTGTCTCCAGAATAAACACTAAGCGTCACAGAAGCCTGTGGAGCTGCTATGAATTATTCTTTTTCAAATCCTATTTGATGAACAGAGTCCAGTGAGCCTTCTTTAGAAGACACAATGGGTAATTGACAAACCTAATAGCTCTTTGTCTGATATGGTAACTAGAAGAACTGTGGTGTAGAACCAAGGTGGCCTCTGGGAAGCAAAATGTCTGTCATTGCTAAAAGTTTCACCTACTCAGTAGCTGCTGTGTGATAAGAGTTTGTTTTGTTTTGTTTTTCCCCCTTTTCCCCTTCCCTTTCTGTATGTTTGTAACTAGGTTAACACTCCAACAAAGACGTATGGGATGGGAAAAGGCCGGGCAGCTGATCTGAAATACATTGAAGCGTGTGCCAGAAGGATTGTACAAAACTCAAATGGCTATAAAATTGTCACCGAGAAGAGCACAGTTCCAGTACGGGCTGCAGAGAGCATTCGTCGAATATTTGATGCTAATACTAAGCCAAACTTGGATTTGCAGGTAAACGTAATCAGAGTTGTGGATTTGAACAATGGTCTCTTTAATTTTTGCTTTTCTGTTGTCTCTATCTTTTTCAAACTTTATTTCTTTTGTCTGCAGGTGCTGTCCAATCCAGAGTTCCTTGCAGAAGGGACAGCGATCAAGGACCTGAAGAACCCAGACAGGGTGCTTATTGGTGGAGATGATTCTCCAGAGGGACAGAAAGCAGTCCGTGCTTTGTGTGCTGTGTATGAGCACTGGGTACCCAAAGAAAAAATCCTCACAACCAATACCTGGTCATCAGAGCTTTCTAAACTGGTTAGTGTGACTAAGTATTACATTGTTTTGCTTAGAACTCATTAACTGGTGTTTATGTATTAAACTACATATATGGTTACCATTTTCCGCTGTTTCCATCAACAGCGATATATAGATATTAAAGTAATGCTTCTTCCAGTACTAACTCTGTACTGGTGTACAAATGTCTTGGCTTCCGGAAGAGTTAAGTTCTGTGTCCTGTGTTTCTATTTACAGGCAGCTAATGCTTTTCTTGCCCAGCGAATCAGCAGCATTAACTCGATCAGTGCTCTGTGTGAAGCTACAGGAGCAGATGTTGAAGAAGTGGCAAGAGCTATTGGAACAGACCAAAGAATTGGAAATAAGTTTCTCAAAGCCAGTGTTGGTAAATGAAGTCTTTCTCCTTCTGAGCTTTTGCCCGATAGCACAGAAGGTCTACTAGTAATGCTTCAAAAGAAGTGCTGTGATAATTTCAAATCTTCTTGAGCATGAGATTGTGAAATTATTACAGAAAAATGGTTTTTACTAATATTCTAGAGTAACAATCTCCAAGATGAAACTGCACTAGACCCTGCCAATCTGAAGCACGAGAATTCAGAGTGTTCTTAATTCAGTTCAGTTTTTTATACTAGAGAATAAGATGTGTACTGATTAACACTACTATCACAAGTCTTTCAGTTTTATGGAACAAGACTAAAGCCTATCTATATGGCCACGCTCCTGATACTGGAAGGAGAGAGTGTGTGACTTTTTTTGCCTTACTAAATGTAATCTCTTTGGCATGTCTCTGAAACAGTGAAAGGCAGATAGTTAATAGAAGGATCCTCATCCCCTAGAACTCTGCTCAGCAGAGTGCTGGAGGCAAAACGTTGCAGGGAGGATTATAATAATGTAATGGGTATTTTGAAGACATACTTACCATCTCAGTTGTCCCTTAGTCAGCTGTAGTGTTCTTTGGTTCTTGATTGTAATTAGATGTCCCTTTTGAAAAACAAGCAAAAGGTTCACCTACTTAAGCTGATATTTATTTATCTAAATCTCTGGATAGGAAAAATGCAAACCCAGGAGCTTGTCCTCCCTTTTCTACAAATAAAAATCCAGGAGCTCTCTTATCATACATTCACTTGAGATTTGGTTAAGATTTCCATTGACTTCAGTGGGATTTGGGAAAGGATTTTAGGGCTTTGGTAGCTGACAATAAGTAGGGCCAGGAGTCATACTTGAGAAGCTTTTGAAGGCTGTCATTTGTGGAAAAGAACAGCAACAAATTCTTGGAAAAGCTAATGCTACAGGAATGAATGCCAAACTAATTGATTCCAAAGACTGGGTTAGTAGAATAATATCTTGCTGGTGCAAGTCATGGGTTAATTTTTCTCTTTCAGGGTTTGGAGGTAGCTGTTTTCAGAAGGATGTTCTGAATTTAGTGTATCTTTGTGAGGCATTGAACTTACCTGAAGTAGCCCGCTATTGGCAACAGGTATGAGTTCATCACTGCTATTGTGACATGTTTCTTCAGTGTGCAGCATGCAAGCATTGTGTGCATATTCTCTCTGTCTGTGCCTTAGTAGTAACTGAATACCTTAAAATGTTGGCAGCTTTTTCCTTTCTAGGGCCTCAGCCCAACACTAGCATTTGAAACTTACAGGTGCTTAGGCTTTGTATCTGGGGGGAATTACTGAAGGAGGAGGATCAAAACAACATTTGGATTGGGAAGCTGCCTAGAAGTAGCAGTAAAAAATCCGAAGCACAGAGAGATGTGCCTGGAGTCCTGCCTTCCTCTTAAACTTGGATGTCTCTATCCACTTTGAATTGAGAGCTTATGATCTTCTCCTGAGTGTCTACTGCTATAGCTCCCCCTCTAAAAACGCAGCAGAAACTCAGCAGAACTTGCTCCTCTTAAATCAGTGTGCTTGCTGGTGTTCCCTAGTTAATGTTAGGAACGATTAGGAAGGTGTAGCGTGGATGCTTTCAGGCCTACCACAGATAGTGATACTGGGTTAGTCAATCTGTACTGGCAGGTGCTGCCCTACTAGCTAGTGCAAGTACTTCACCCCCTCTTCCCCAGTCCTCCTAACTGAGGAAGCAACTCCACCATATGTGATGTGGTGAGAACACTGCTTTGGTTCATTATCCTAACTGAGCCTGTGGCAATCAGGTACAAGGCTGCCTGGCAGGTACCCTCAGACAGCACCGATCACATAATGTGCCCGCCTTACCCATTTTCCTATTTCTAGACCCTCCTTTTGGCTGCTATTTCCCTTCTTTTCTCTGACCTAGTCTCCTGAGAAATGAAACAGTCCACCCATGACTAATTATTTAAAAAAAACAAATTTGAGCATGGCATGTGGCTAAATTGGGATCTGTGGTAGAAAATGTTACCTAAGTAATTTTGGTCTTCCTTGGTACTATTGATATGGTTACCTAGGCACTGTTGGCCTTGTAAGGTTCTGTTCCTCAGAAGGTCCCTGATATTCCCCTCTAAATATCTGAAGTTTGGCCTGTTCTCACATACTTTCCCTTTATGCACTTGTGAAATCAGCCATTCCTCCCTTTTTGTCAGCTGCTTAATTATTTGTGATATTGAGCAATTTTGTTCTGTCCAGCAGCTTTCTAAATGCTGTTCAATTAGCATAACCTCAGGCCAGGGCCTAGTCAGCAGCCTGGTTATGTGCTTGCAGCTCTAACACTTAAATCAATTCCTTTGGGTATGGAAGACGCGGGTTTTATGCTGTCTGCAATCTGGAGAGGTTCACGTTGTCATCTTCCTTCAAGAATAACCTTCATCAAGATGGAAGAGTCTATAGTAGACACACTTGCAAAGCTATCCAGTGAAGCTGGGACCCCTGCACATGCCTCTAGGAGGCATTTGGTTGAACATACAGGATCTGATGCATTGACAGGGAGGGAAAGATAAGGAGCCCTAAATTCTGTTATCTCCCTTAAGAATGGCTGTTTTCACTTGGTATAAAATGCAAGCAGATAATGGACAACTCCTGGAGCAAGGAGCAGCAGGAGCTGCAAGAACTAACCACGCTAGCTGGGTAATATTAATATGATGAACAGTAGGGGGAAAAAAAATTCTTGAAAAAGACAAGGGACAAATTGGTTTGGCTCTCTGCTCTTTGAGATCAAAAGGATGCTCCTCAAAATGCAATCCAGTTGCTATCTTGGCGACCCGAAGGCCTAGAAGTATTTGATTCGTTGGTGGGTATGTATTTTTAAACAAAAGCCTGAAGAGTTGCATTGTTGATGTTAACAAACTGGTTTAAAGCATTTAAAAATGCTTTAATGCTCTCTGATTCTGCTTCAAGGACTACAGCTCGTAGCTGTGGACAAATCAGATGATAAAACAGTTGCTACTGAATTAGTGTAGAGTGGCATATTCATGTAATGCAACCCCCTGTCTCACCTTCTACTTCCTCAGTAGTGTACTGTCTTTTTGCAGAGGTCTCTACCTGCTGCAGCCTACACTGGTCAGGTCACACGTGTGCACCTGTATAAGCGACCATGTAAAACCCTTCTCCTTTGTGGCCTGAGTGCTACACTGTCAACAGCTGCATCCTATCCCAGTGCAAGCATGTGGGAGACTGCAGCCAAGTCTGAGGACAGGGCACCGAATCTGGAAGATACGGCAGTCAAAGTGGCTCTAGAAACAGAACTTCTATTGTGTCTGGCCTTTAGATAGGACAGGGCCAGGGCATGCCTATACAAAGGAAGAGCTACATATAGAGATGTATGCTCTTACTCTGTGTCCTCTTACTCTGTCACCTATTACCATTATGTTCCCCTACTCTGCTGGAGTGTATAAATCTCATTGCTTTTTTGTCTTCCTCAAAGAAACCTGGTTCACAGGTACCATTTTTATGTATTGTTTGCACATTGTGTTCTACAGGCCCCTGCTAAGCCTTGCTTTGGGTTGAAATCTGCTCATAATCAAGAGGGAAGCATAGTTCTCTCCAGTCTGTGGTAAACTTTGACTACTTGGAGGAAGTTGGGGAACCTACCTTCCCTCATCTAGCAGTGGTCTGGGGTCCTCTCTCCCCACTGTTAAGGGATGGGGATGAAAGTGTGAAACAGACTGGCAGGATAGCTTCAGAACAATCAGACTGAGTGTAACCCACTTATGTTACCAACAAAAGATTTAAGTGCCTCGCTATCGCTTATATAACAGATTTCAGCTCACTGAACTAGTGTGGTTATGAAGTGTAATAACACCACTTGATAGTTGTCCACCCATGGCATGCAGAGAAGTGTCAGTCTGGTGTTGGGATGTCCTTGTGACATTAGGTACCCTAAATTTACCATTTTATAGAGATCCATGTAACACTGCAACTGCTTTCCATGTTTCTGTCTGCAATAGAACATGTGTGTGGTTGGTGTGTAAGTGTATAGATGTTTTTGTTGGGTTTTGCGGGGGAGGGTAATCCAAACCAAAAAAGCTCTAGCCTTTGAACTAGATAAAGTGAGAAAGCACGTGTGTGAACATAGACATCTGCACTCGTTGATTGAAATAGGATTTAGCTCAAGAACCTATAAATTAACTAAACTTATTTCTGGATTACTTGTATGGTACTGAGTAAAGATACTTGTTTCTTCCCCAATCTCTTTAATATTAAACTTATGTCTGGCTAGCTTGACTTGAACAACTTTTGTTAATCATGTTGCTGGTATGGGTGTTTCCTCAGTGATTGCTCTCTCCCAAACTGTCATGTGTTATATGATTTCAGGTAATAGACATGAATGATTATCAGAGAAGAAGATTTGCTTCTCGTATTATTGACAGCTTGTTCAATACTGTCACTGATAAGAAGATTGCTATTTTAGGGTTTGCATTCAAAAAGGATACTGGAGACACAAGGTAAGAGAGCAAGTTCAATTCACTAATGTGGCTGCCCTACATTTGTCACCAGCTATGCAGTTAAGCGCACCAATTGAATGGTGTTAATGAAAACTGATCAGGTGAAAGGTCCTAAACCTCTTGTGACTGAATTAGTTTTTCTTAAATGGGTGAGACAATTTATCTGACCTCTAATCCAGCTTCTGAATGATTTAAGTATGTTTTAGAAACTAAGAATCATCTATTGCATCTGGTCCTCATTACTTGAATAAACTAAGGTGGCTTTTGAACAGAGTCCTTCCTGTCTCTACAGTAAAGATGCAAAAGCTTTTGGATTTGTGTAGCAACTGGGAGTCAGTAGCAGAGCTTCAGCCTCGTTTCCCAAGGACAGCTATTCTGTTGCTTTCCTGTAAAAGCTGAATAGGGTTCTCTTTGGCTGGAGTTTGCAGGGCATGTTAATGGGAGTGACATCTTGTTAATTATGCTCAATCAGAATCCTGGGGCTTAGTGTCTATCTTAGGCATGATTCAGCAAAAGAGATGCAAATTTATTTTTTTACATTATCCTTCTTGTCCTCCCTCAAGACTTTTATTTTGCTGCTGTCGTGGATTACCACTGATATGTGCAATGCTAGAGCTTTTATCCTGGCTTTACTTTAAACACATCTCATAGGGTCTTTTCATGACACTTGAAGACTTTCATTATTTAGAACAAATCATCTGATTCTTCAACTGGTTGATTCACTTCCCTAGAGAGTCTTCCAGTATCTACATTAGCAAGTATTTAATGGATGAAGGAGCAAAACTCCATATCTATGATCCTAAAGTACCTAAGGAACAAATCATCTTGGATCTTTCACATCCAGGTGTCTCCGAGGATAACCAAGGTAAGAATGCTCATGAAAAGTTTATATTTCCTGGAAGAGGGGGGGAGGAAAAAACAAAAAACCCAAGCCTTGTGCTTTTTGAGAATAGGTTAATACTGGAAATTCACCTTCACCATGGCAGTGATGTGCTGCTGGTTACACTTTGTTAATGCAGAGATTTGTCATAGTTCAGAGGATTACTGTAAACTTCCTCAGCTCTGCTTAGCATTTTATTGAAACAATGCTAATTCTATACCAGTGTGTGGTGGTGGTGGTGGTTTTTTAACAAATATTCATTTAAATGCGCGCAAAAATTTTCTGTGCAATTAAAAGAAAGAGAACCAAGAATGTCCAGCAATAAGAGGGACTAACGTTACTCTGTCCACTTCTTTTTGTCCTGAGCCTTGTGTTGTTGTAGATCTGTCTTGCCTGTGTAAAGTAGAAGTAGTAATTCTGATATTCACTGTAGAACACTTACTTTCCTCTCCTGCCCTCCCAGTGTCACTTCTTGTTTAATCTCTGCCCCTCAATTCGAGACGATTTGAACTAGTCCTCTATGAGTAGGGGTTTTGTAGGAGGTGTTTTGGATCTTTGTTCTTTCTTCCTACTGGGCAGGGGAAGAATGGAGATGATGTATAGATGGGTGAGGAGAATGATAGTTGATCTTCTTAGAGGTGGAGAGAGAATGAGGGAAAACAACTGTGATGAGATGATACTCAGACCTTCCAAATGGACCTGATATGGCAGACGCACTTGGAGTGAAGGACAGTAGTAGCCATTAGAGGCTGGAGTGCTTACAAGGGGCCCTTGAATTAGAGGGGGATGGGAGAATGGTCTCCAGGCAGATGCTGAGGCAGTCAAAGGATGAAGGTAGCCCTTGGTGTATGCACTGAGCCACGTATTTTTAGTGTGAAACAAGTGTTATAGCAAATGTGGTGTGCTGCTATCATATAGGCAATGACCTTTTTGAGAACTGGTATTTGCATCTTTGATAATAACTTCCAATTCTAGAAATGTTTTTGAGAAATTAAGCATTCCAGTTTTTCAAGCAGTTAAGAGCCTTGACTTTGTTCAGATGTCAGGTGTCAGCTGCTATCACTAATTTTAAGTGACAAATGTCTTGACAGAAAACAACTCTAGATGAGTGACCTGGAACTCTCCTTCCTTGCTCTGATCAAATAAGGAGACTGTCTTGCCAGGAATGCACCAGGTAGACACCAAAACTTGTGCAGAATAAACCTCATTTTCCTTCTATTGCAGTTTCTCGGCTGGTCACTATAAGTAAAGATCCATATGAAGCCTGTGATGGAGCTCATGCCCTTGTAATCTGTACTGAATGGGACATGTTTAAGGTAAAAATTCTTTTCTTCGGTTTAAATCAAAGATACAAAGAGAATATGTTACTTAATTATTCTCTCTGCTCTATTTGCCCTTTATAGGAGCTGGATTATGAGTGTATTCACAAAAAGATGCTCAAGCCTGCGTTCATCTTTGATGGTAGGAGAGTTCTTGATGATCTTCATAATGAGCTACAAGTCATTGGTTTCCAGGTAACCAGCTGAATTGTATTTCTAATTGTTCTTTTGGGGGGGAGGGGGAGGGAGATGAGTGTTGATATCCTGTTCCTTTCCTCCCCACCCTCATCTTTTTCACTTTTTGCTCACTGGAATGATTGAGTTACAAGAGAAAAAGCCCTTCTTAGGTGAGGCGTAAAATGTAAAACACTTGTTCTTAGGTCTCTTCATTAGTGTACCTTTTCTCCAGTATCCTCCTGTTCTGTAAACTGATGCGCTGTGAAAATCCAAGCTACGTTGGAATATTCCATCAACACTCGGCCGTATAAGCATGTCTGGAAAAGTCATCTGTCTAGTCCTCTAGTAGAGACAAAATATTTGACTAATACTGAAATCACTAAATCTCTGAATAATTTGCTGATAGAAACATCTCAGTCAGTCATGAATTAGAACAAAACCTAGAGGCCAAATCAGATGCATGTTTCAGCTAAAGTATTTCCTTTTACCTACTTAAGTACGGTGATTACTTGCATAATGGTCATAGGCTTTCCCTCCCTCCCCTCCTCCTTTTTTTTCCCCCTTTGCTTAAGCTACAGCACAGCTGTTACATGAGCCTGTTCACAAACAGTGTAAATTGCTTTTACTAGTTAAATGCTGTGGCCACATGGTGCAGCTATTACCAGCAAATATGGTTCATAGCTGACATGGCTGCTTAAACAATGCTCTTCAGAGGGTGCTGATGAAACCAGGTAGTTAACTCAGGTGTCTGCCTAGAATTATTGTTTTTTCACTAGGTTTCTGTTGAACTTACTCCTTAGGATTGCTTTAATTAAGTCAGAACTAATCATCAAAAGGCAACATATCATATTCAAGAAGAAAGCTACATCTCTTCTCGTTTACTTACTGAGCATCTGAGCTGTTTTGCTAGTTGGCATTTTGGCCTCTGCAAGTTCTGCCCTTAAGTGATTTATATTAGCCTGATTTTTAGGAATTGGAGGAACCTGGCTCAGTTTGAACTTTGCAGTACCTGGTGCGTGTGCATGCACTAGCTTCTTACACTTTCTTAAATAGTGTTGACTACCTTTTAGCCTTTCAAAGCTGTACTCTTTCGAAAAACAACCCACTTTAAGGGAGAAAGATGCTCATCTTTCTTAATTGAAAGGCTATAAGCTTGTAAATAAAGGAGGCTAAGCCTGCATTTTTCTGAATACCCAGGCTCTTTGTGATGTTTATACTGACAGTTCCGTGGAAGCTGAGGTATATGAATGTTCAAATTACTGGGATGTAACTATTTTAATATCATGCAAAGCAGGATCCTGTTAGAGGTTTTAAAAAAACTCTTAAAACTCCTTGCACTCGTACTCCTAGAAAATAGTCTCTTGGCACACTGTGCTTTGGAGTTTGTATTTTTCCCATGTTAATTAAAAGTAATCATGGCCCTGGATTTAGTTCATAGATTTTTAATAGCCTGACATTATTGTGTTAGCTTGCCACACTCACTTGCTAAATGTCTTCTCTTTCAGATTGAAACAATTGGAAAGAAGGTATCAGCCAAAAGAATTCCCTTTGCTGCTTCTAGTGAAATTCCTAAGTTCAGCCTGCAGGAGCATCCTGTAAAAAAACCCAGAGTGTAACTCTTAATAGGTACTGAAGGAATTCTGTGAACCTTCTTAGTGATATTAACTGTAAGCCTATGCTTTTTTTTTTTAAGGAAAGATATTTTTTCATAAACTGAAAACCATTTTTACAGTAGAAATGGTACCTGGTACACGTGAATTCAGTCTACTTTCAAATCTCTATTTTTATAATTTTTTCAGTTACTGAAGATGGTACAGACAGACCAGTTTTTAATAGTCAATCAACTCTTAAGTGGAAAAATTACCTTCAAACAGCATATTTCTGCTTCCAGAAACATTCCCAAACTGCACTTTAAACGTTTCAAGTGCTATGAAAGCAAAAGAAATAGAAAAGCTTATTTTTTACTTTAGTCTAGCTATGGACAGTGATCAGGAGCTTACTCGATCTCACCGATTATAATTTACCTCCAGGGTAACTTCTTGGCCTGTTCAATGCCTGTTAAAGCAAGCAAGTCAAAAGATATGTTCCAAGTGAATTTGATAAGATTTGGGTTGAGCCCTAAAATAGAGCTGACTGCAGTAGTACTGCCCTGATCCTGACTGGGATCGGTGGGCACTGATATAGTCTAAAGTGACTTCTGGTTTTGGGAGGCCAGATAGTTCTGCAGGCATCTATTGTGTAGCTAATGACAGTGGACTAGCAGCTATAAACTGATCCACTGGCAGATAACACTTCTGATTCTTCGTGGTCTTGCCACATTCCACGTACAGCACATAAATTATTGATTTTAATCAGATTCATGGGGCAAATTTCCCCATATTACAGCGGTGAAACCCATCAGCCTCAGTAGAAGAGCATTCTATTTGCTGCTTGTTTGAACATTGAATTTAAGCAGAATTACCCGAAATTAATTCAATATCAGTCCAAGTAGAAAGCAAATGTTGACTTCAAAGCTATCTAGTGGTTATTTCTTCCTTCCTTTTTGCTTGCATACTTGAACTGAAAGCAGGTTTCCTAATCAACCTGCAGGAATTATCCTCTGCTCCTGGGAAAAGGTTAAAAATAAAGTTTAGCCCCATAAGTCAGTCAGCTTGCTACCTCATTTAACTAGAAGGAATGCATTCTTCCCATGTCATCTTTATACTTTTACTACTTTATTTCTCCTTTTTTTTAAATTATCCCAATTGGCCAGTGCTATTAAATTCCTTGGGATGCAAAGTTTGTGTTCAGTTTGTTGCATGGGGTTGTGAAATGGAGGGGAGGATAAAGAAGGACTATGACTATCAACAGGTTTCAGAATGAAAGGGGCAGAAACCTCCCTGCTAAGTAACAGTAGTGTTGGGATGTTTGAGAATTGTCCTGTAGCTAGTCATGTAATACCTTCTGAATTCATTCAGTAGAAAAGTATGCTACATCAATAGTTAAACCAAGAGCGCAAAGTCTGTGTCTTTTTGCTAATAAGTGCTATTACTTGCTGAAATGTAGACATAATTTACTAGCCTAAGCTTTAGGCTAGATCTTTGAAGATTTGTTTAAGGAACGCGTATAATTTGAGTAGATAATATGGGACAATGCTATCTGTTAGACTGACAGCAATTGCTGTACCCTGCAACTGGATGCTTTCAGATTCTGCACACCTCAGTGGCTTCCATGTGAGGCCTTGCTCTGTAGTGAGCACACAGCACTGTGAGCAAATGTGCTTGAGTTGTTTTGTATCAACTATTGTAAGGCTCTTCTGTGAGGTACACGTCAGAAACCAGTCAAGATCAGTGGAAATTACAGGGGGGCTTAAACTCCAGTTCATGTGTTGACTTCCATCATCACATCTCCTCCTCTTACTGATTTACTAGTTCTGTTTTCATACAGTGCCCAGAGAGCAGGAACAGCCCTGTGATAAAGTTGAGGTATTTATACAAATAATCCAACTCTTGCTTTGCAGGTAGATAGTCTTGTGACTGACACCCTTTCTTCCCCCCAAACTCACTCACTCACTTGCCCTCTCAGTTGCTATTTACTTCTTGGGGATTAAGAGGAGGGCATTGACAAGATGAGCTTGAAGACTCGCCTTGAATTATGTTCAAGGCAGCACAGCACTGTTTCAAGGCTCACCTCATCAAGGAAGTGAGTAGGGGCTCCAGGAAAATCAGGATAGCAAAGGATGCTTTTCAGAAGACTGTACAGAGTTGTGATAGTAGCATCACCATGTGGGACCTGTTCTCATCAGTCTGAAGTGGAGAGATGAACCATTCACACAGCGCTGCTCCTATTGTGAATGTGCAAGAGCTGTAAGGCTGGCCACTGGACGTTTCCAGCAGCTTTCCACATGTTGCCTTGGCAAAACTGAGGAACCAGTTGCTAGACACATTCCTGTTTTCTGCTTCTGTAGACTGAGTTGAAGCCTGGAGGGTGATTTGTTGCTTAATCATCAAGATCAACAAAGAATGGGGAAAGTTAATTACAGTGGGATCTCTTAAATTTACGTTTCTTAGGAAATGTCTGATGGGGAGGCAGATCCCTTTGCACAGCAAAGGGGTATAACTGGTATTGGCGTTTCCCTTTCTGGGAAAGTCAGCTTGTTTGGTCTTCTGGCTGCTGAATCCTTTTATTGAACACTGGGGCTGTGGGATGGATCAGGTTTAACAATGAGCTGAACAGCTGGTGGTGTAGGCCCTTAGGATACTGGAACTTTCTCTCGCATGTATGCAGGAGAAATTCACCACGGGCTGAAAGAGTTTCAGAAGATTCTGCAGCACCATGAATCACAAACTGTCCTCTTCAGAATAATAGTTGCCAGGGAAATGGAGTCGGAGATGACTTGCCCTCCTGCTTGGAGGGTTGGAGCACCCAAGTAGTGCATGCAGAATATATGTGTTTTTTGTAATGCTTTTGAACTTGTGCTGATGGGATCTTACAGTTCTTGTCAAGAATTATAGGAACTATGAGTAATGGACTTCTGTACTTGCTTTTTATGGGGCTTTTAATAAAATCCAATCCATGGTAACACTGCTTTTCATCCCATTAGTATGGATACAACAGTTGAAGCAAACCCAGCTTTAATACTAGCCTATGAATTGTATGATATAGACTACATAAATTAAGCTGTGTAAACAAATCCTAAATGCCAGGTGTGTGGGTGCATTTTTTTCATGTTTGTGTCCCCCCTGCCCCAACCTGCCCGTCTATGTTCAATTCTTAATGTAAAGCAGTTAAAAATAGCCTGGTTCCAAGCATCTGAAATCCAAGAACACTCTGAATTAATAAACGGATGTATATTTTTGACCAAGAGTTAAAGAGGAGATTTCATAGTGGTTAACAAACTTACAGCTCCTCTTTCTATATCACTTGAGGTTCTTCTGTTGGAGGTGATCTAGAGCTTCAAATAGTGCTTATAATCTTGTTAAACAGCAGTTTGAATGAACTTTAAAATGCAGGAAAGCAGTAGGGGATTATCTATGATGGAATACTGGGGACAGTTTTCATTATTTGCTTTTTCTGTTCCAAGCTTGAAAACGTCTGTTGCAAGTTGAGAACATCTTTCAGAATGACTTATATTATATGGTAGTAAAGCAGCATGTATATGTTTTTAAGGATGGGGAGGCTATTACTAATTACTGAGCAAGTAGGAAAATTTTTTTTAAAACTGTGTTCTTAAATAAGCAGTCTTTTTTTGTTGATTTAATGGAAAGACTCTTCAAGTCACTCAAAAGCTACAGCAGTTCTTTGCTCAGCTGCATGGTAACATTTAATTATGCTTCACAGAATGAAGTAGTAGCTTGATGTAATGATACTTTAAAAAAAAAAAAAATCATTCTGTTAAAGAGTCTACATCAACTTGAAATCGTATTCCCAAAACTCACTCAATTGGTGTTTTGTGGATTGCAAGGAAGATTATTTTTGCTTAAAATACTTTATTGCTGCTTTGTGGAAACAAACTGCCACAAACAAGTGCTTGATATTTAAAAAAAAAAAAAAAGTGTCACTAAACTTTAGTGGAAACAAAGTAGGAAAATTCATGAAACTTGTGCTGAACTTACATGCAAAAGAGTTCTGGGTTCTTGTTTTGTATGATTATGCATGGTGTCTTTAGCATAGTTATGGAAAAACTGAACAGGCAATGGAAAAGATAGTTGTAAAGCAGTATTTTTGGAGGGGGGGGTTATTTGTTTTTTTAACTAGGAAAGGAGTTTTAAGGCTGGTCAGTTTTACTCTACAGATTGGCAAAGGTCCTCAAAGATGCTTAAAAAAAAAATTCCCACACCCATGAAGTCAAAACATGACTGCTTTGCATGGTGTTTAGTATGGTTTCTGTGGAGGTAGAAAATAGTTTCTTAAGTAGCTGCTGTAACTTGGTGCCTGCTATCAGACATGGTTGTGTAAAAGCATGAGAGCATCATCTCAACCACCCAGGAATAATCTGTAAAATACTTCTAACATGAAATAATATTGGAATCTGATTTCAGAAACATTGTTTCTCATCTGGGGGGGAAAAAAACCCCTCATAGATAATTATTGTGCAATCTCATCTTTTCACAATTTGGCAATAGCCATATTGCTCAGAATCTTTTTTTTTCCATATTTTTTGTGTTAATATGTTTAAAGAGCAAAAACTGCTACAGCAATAGTCTGTTGGATCTGCTCCCCAAGCAAGTCAAAACTATTATTTATAATAGGATTTCTATTAGAAAGGCTGGCAGCTGTTAAATGTACTGGTATCCTGGAGTTAATGTTGCCCCCTGTCTACTGTTGTGGAGGGAGTATTGAATTAATTTCCTTACCATAGTGATACCTTCCACTGCTTTAGCATTCAATGTACATCAGCTGAAGTGGGGCATTTGTGGCTCAAAGCTTGCCTGGTACTTCCAGATCTACTGCTCAGCGTGGTGGGTTTTAAACCTTGCCTTTCTGTTTGCTGTTACAAAGGATCGTGATCAAGACTTCTATTTCTCCCTTCTTCTGTTCTTTAGGACTCGGGTTTCTCTTCCTAATTTATAGTCACCTAATACTGCTTAATTAGCACGTTTATTCTAGCTTAAGGCTATTTGTTGTCATAACACTTTTTCCACAGACTCACTAAGTAATTGGGGTTGGCTGGGACCTCTGGAGAGAGTCTGGTCAAACCCCTCCTCAGCAGGGTCAGCTAGAGCTAGAGGACCCTAGCCCAGTGGTTTCTGAGTATCTCCAAGGACGGAGATGCAACAACGTGTCTGGGCAACCTGTTCCAGTATTTAACCCCCACAGTATGGGTTTTCATTTGCTCAGTGGAACACAAGTATATACAGACTATATATTTGGAATATCTGTATTGGCTATACTTCATTTTGTGAAGTGTCCACTGGATATCACTGGCCTTTGTGGTATAATTTCATTGTTGTTGTTCATACATAGCATACATGACATTATATGTAGGAGTGACTAACACTAGCTTGCTTTTTTAAAAATGATCTTTCTTCTAAGATCTTGCTGAAAGTAGGGGGAGAGACCGAGACTTTCACTCTGGTTCCTGTAGACTACATAACTTACACAAATACTGCAGCCAGCTATAGGGTACTGGAATGAGAAGAGTTTGGGACCAGATAACATAGATTCTCGGTGTGTTTCCTAAAGTTTTTGAGCAGGCTTAAGCTATATTTTCATGAAAATATCCAAGGTGTTCAAAGCAGAAAACTGAGAACTATTAGGGAGACACACTCTGAAGTATCGAGACGACAGCTCTTTGCTCCAATTGCTGGGAAGAGAGAAGCATTTACAACTGCTAGTGTACCATAAGTTATGTTTTTATTTCTGTTACAATTTAAAAATATATATAATGGTTTTCACGTTTCATCCACAATGCAGTTCATTTCCCCGTTGTCTTAGGATTTAACAGCCAGATCAAGCCTCAAGGGGGTTGGTAGCCAGACCAAACATGACCAACAAAACCTTAGACCAGCTATTAATTTCCTGTAATAGTAAGACAATACCCGTGAAACAGAAGTACAGTACGGAATATCAACATTTCTGCATACCCAATTTTGAAGAAGCACCCATGCAACTCAGTGGGGTTCGTTAACTGTCTTACACCCAAACTAGAGGTGGCTCTACTTATGCTGTTACAGCAACTTTGATTTTCCAGATGGTTTAAGTTATGACACCTATATAAGGTTAACTGGCTTGCCGCAGACTAATCCCGTTCACCCTTGGACACCCAACCACCTGAAAAGCATTAACCACCAGAATGGGTAGCTAACTTTCTTCAGATGTAGTTTAAGACGCTGACTGTCTCTTGAAGCATGTTAATGATGTTTTCTCTAGTGTGGTTCAAAATAGGCTCAATATGGTCTTTTGTCATATATACAATCTTTGGAGCTCCCAGGTTTCCCAGAGTCCCTGCAAATTCATGTTACGTACTAATGGTGACATACATATCAAGATATCAATATCTTTCTAATTACTTGTTATTAACATCTTAACAAGTACCTAATTGCAGCAATATTGATGGTAGCATCAACCTTGTTTACTTAAATTTGTCTGTTATCTTCAGCTTGTGTTTCTTCCAGCTCAGTTCCCTTGTTCTTTAAAAAGTGAGTTTTATCAACACCTTCTTTAAATTCCATCTTCTCACTGTTTATTGAACAGTAAAAGTTCTACTAGTTCGACTAGTAGTTGCACCCTTGCAAGGAAGAATCAGGTAAATTAACATGAAGTGTTCTGGTGAGAGAAAAGTGTTCTAGAAAGACAGTAAGTTAATTCAAGCATCCACCATGTGGCTGCTGTATTTCTGGAACTGAGTTTATGGGCCGAAAAAAAAGATCCTTAGAACAGGCTACTTTAAATAGGTTTACTCTCCTTTTCAGATGGCTTTTGTCTTTCTTTTTTCTACTAAGTTCTTCAAGAAGAATTCACCTAATTGAAAGGCAAATAAGCACCAAAAGTGATTGGTAAGTATTTCAAAGCAATACATTCTTACTGAGAATTGCGTTCTATGACAATTCAGTTCTGTATAATATTTCCAATATATAGAGATTAAAACCAAAACCTTTATAACCCAACAAAGTCCTTGACTTTGCTTATGTCCAATTGTATGAAAGGATTCCCAACAGGCAAAGGTGAAATAACTCCACAAAATAGGGATTAATTATTAATTAAATTATCAACAACTTATAGTGAAACCTGCTACAAATGTTGCTTAAGCTGGCTTTAAAATAGTCTGAAAAGCAAGATGTCCCAGCTGAGTCTTTTCTGCTCTCTTCTTAGGAAAAAGCAGGCTATTGGACCTAAACCACAATCCCACTAAAATCAGCTGTTACTTGATACACAGTGCTTTGTTAGAAAAAGCACTGCCATAAACGCCTCTAATTATTTTTGTGGCACTGTAAATAAATTCTTTCTAAAGCAACAAAAATATACCACAAACAAAGGCCACTATTAAACCCTGCAGTGTTCAAGAGGTAGGACGTAATGGAAAACTTGCAAATTGTCTTCCCTTTATATGAATCCTGCCTCAAGCAATAAGTATAGTACAAACCAGGTTTGGCAAAAATGAGCTTAAGTGGCACAGTAATTACACAAATACCAACTACTGCCATACTGATGCATTTAGCTGACCTATAGAAGACAGTAAGCGTAAATAAAATAAAAACCAAAGGACCAGTGTATGAGTTGCCTTTGAGCTAAGTTGAACTTTGTTACATATTACTTCACAGTTGTAACTTTATATAATAAAATTTTACATCCTAAATCATCTAATGCATTTCAATAATTTACCTGCTTTATAGGAGGAGCGCACTAAAGGCCCACTAGCTGTGTAATGGAATCCAAGATCGTTTCCTACTTTTTCCCAGTACTTGAATTTTTCAGGAGTTATATATTCTTCAACCTGAGTGAAAAGTATTAATTTTGATCAGAAAATAACGCAAAGCAAGTGGATACAGCTGAAATGTAGTGACAGGAGTTATTTCACAAATTCAAAAACTTTACACTTCAAAACTTGCAGCAGTCAAGTCATACAAATGCATTTTCTCTCTGCTTTTTACCAGAAGAATGCATTTATTTTAAAAGCCAATTACAGTTCAGCAGTTCAGAATGTAATATCTAGTTGTTGCTTCATCATTTTCTTCATTGTTTTTAACTGGTCACTTTGAGCAAACGTTTTATTGTCCAAGTTAGTTAAAAACAGAGTAGCCTTATGAATCTCTTCAATAGTAACCTCTCGGTGAAGCAGAGAGTAACAGGACAGAGATTCAAACATTTCTGGACAGACTACAGATCCAGAAAACCTAGAAAAATGGCAATTTTCACAGCTGAAGTGACATCATTAAGGAAGAGCCTATGAGACAGGGAAGGCGAGAGCCGTTACATTTAAACTGTCTCTGTTGTTTCCAAAATCACGCCTTAGCTCCAGCTGCCTCCCCAGCTAGTAGCAAGTAGCAGTGAGAAGCCTGAGGAAGATGGAAGACAGACAGCGGAGGTCATTTTTAGCAGAAAGCCCCTAACAGATGAAGATCAGGTAAGAGGAGAAAGGAAATCTCTCCCAACATCCACTGTTAGGGTAAAGATGCAAATTAAACCTCTTCCTAGAAAGGGGAAACTTTGCCACAGTGAGGTTCAGGCCGTAATGCTGTCAGTATGCTAAAGGCATTTTTACCTTTAGGTGACGTTTTGTTGGCTGCATGTATTGTCCTAGGGTCAAACAATCTACACCGGCTTCACGCAATACTGTAAAAATAAAATTGCTTGTTAGTGGCAAAAGGATCGCAAGGGACTGTCAGCAACTTAAAACTGTCCTACTTACATTTCAAGTCTGAACACAGGTTGCGCTACAGCATATTAGAAGGGCTACATCGTGCTCTCCAGTAAACAGAACTTGTGATCTCCTTGAGTGGCGGCAATGTAAATTACCTCATTCTGAGCCCCGTGCTGCTGCAAGGAGACTTAGCAGTACCCGAGCTACCTAGCTGAAAGCTAGGGAGCATACTACTATACTGCACTGCAGTCACTTGTCTCACTGCAGAGACAATGTGCTCTTTTCATTTTATTGCTTTTTATTGTATCTTTAGGTTAGAGCCTTCCTTTGATAAAACGTGGATGCCTGTACACACTCTTAGCACTTTTCCACTGTTTCAAGAGTCCTGATGCTGTTATGTGCACAATTCTAAAGAGCTATAAATCCAAGGGGAACTGCCAACACCTGTTGACAGTTTTACACACTTCAGGGTATATGTTAATTTTCGTGCCTGCTGCACTTGTAAGCCATGTCTGCTAAAACTGGAATATATACTAGACTCACTGTACAGCAAATGAGTTCACATAAAGTCTACTTACAGAGGGAAATCCAGACACCTGATAGTCAGCTAGCCTGAAGAATTACGTTCACTGCAGCTAGTAGGGCATTCCCAACAAAGGGATGGCTGAGGAATCAGATTTTACATGGGTTTCTCCATACGTTCTGGCCACTTGGGCTGCTTGCCCCAAAGTAAATTAGAAAAAAAAAACAAAAAACAAACACAGAGTGTTGTGATTGGAACACTGCACTCACAGGTACCCTGAAATCTCTGTTTAGATCGATAGGGTTCTGTAAAGAAACTGGTTCAATACCAGCACATGTACGTGTTCTTTAACTCTTACATACAAGAGGGAAGGCGAACAAAATTAGAGTAACTCAATGAACGAGGTTGGTCAACCCTTGGCTTCAAACACATCTGTGAAAGTGGCCTGAAAGCAAACAGCACCAAATCTGAACTTTCATGATGTCATGGCCAGACAATGCCTGACGGGGAGTGCGGGAAAGTCAGGAATGGTAATTTTACTGCCCAGATTTTAGGGTAGCTACAGAAAAACTACACTGTACCAGCATACTATCTATCTAAGAGCTTATCTACAAAGAATAAAGCACCAGGTAGACATTCTTCCAACCTCATCTGGGAGAAAAGTTATGGGATTTATGAATTTCTTCTTGTAAGCACTTTCTATTCACTTACCACTGTGAAGTTTTTCCTCTCAAAAAACAAACAAAAAAAAAACCAACAAAGCAAACAAAAACCCCACAAGAACATGCTACAGTTTCAAGGAAAAGAACATTTGTTTTACATCTGTGCTGGTAAGTCAAAATATTTTTTTTCCCAGACATCACGGTCTACCACCTCTAAAAAGAAATGCACAATAACCTAACTATTTTGTAAGCTCATTATTTAAGCATTGCAAAGTTATGAATATTAAAATAATCACATGAAGGTAGTTGTAGCTCCCACTGAAATCAGCAGGAGCTTGATCAGCCTGTCAAATTGTCACTGAGAAATCTGAAAGCCATGAGAACAGAATGTTTCAGAAGTTCATGTTTTTCGTAACTGATTTTTCCATGTACTTTAGAAAACATTTCCCCCATCAGCAAACTGATTTGCACATACATCAGTCTGTTGTATTTTAAGATGCTTGCAACTGTTTTCCAGTAAAATAAAATTCATCCATGCGAACACATATTTCAGCACCAACTTACACTTCATTGTTGAATATACTTGTTCATCTGTCTCGCCGAGCCCCAACATAATGGAGGTTTTAGAAATTATGCCCGGTTGGACCTCTTTAGCATGCTGCAGGACGCGTACAGACTGCTCAAAGTTGGCTCGGGGATCACGGACCTTCCTTTAAATATTTTGAACACAAGGGGAAAAATGCATAAAGGGATATGCAGGACCGTGAGGTGCCGAAACACTATTAGTTTCCACAGAGTGAAAGCCACCACTGTACAAAATTAGGTCTTTAGTTGACAATTCCCTTGACTCCCCCCCC